GAGAGAGAGAGAGAGAGAGAGAGAGAGAGAGAGAGAGAGAAGAAACCGTGTGTGAGAGAGAAGAACCGTGTTCTGACACTATCGGACCGAAGAAACCGCCCTTATCAACGGGCGACATGCACAAAGGACAAAAAATATGGCGGTGTATCTTTCCATGTTCTGGCGGAAGATTCATTCATATGTTGGGTGGTGGAGAGCGAAGGGCCGATGAATCAGGTAAGCACGTAACGTATCTCTGGAACCTTTCTTTTTTTTTTTTTTGGAAAATCTCTGAACAAATGAGACTGAATCCTCCGCTTGAACATGGAAAGATACATTGCCATATATGTCTTGTTGTGCATGTCCAGAGTAGTGCAGCGAGCCCGTTGGTAAACATTACCGTTGAGGTTCTGACAGGTTGGACGCGCCGGGCTTCACTCGTGCAAACAGCTGTTCTTCCTTTACGTTTTTTTCCTTTTATTAAAAAAAGGAAAATCCAGGAAAAACGGCTGCCAGTTCCGTCGTTTTCTATTTCAGAAGTAATACGACGAGAACGTTTTGAGAGATCGCAACCCTCATCATGACTGAATCTGGCCTGCAAGAACCCTACCATACAGACTGCAATTACCGTTGAGGTTCTGACAGGTTGGACGTGCCAAGCGACACTCGTGCAAAGAAATTCTGATTTTCTTCCTTTAAAAAAAAAAARAAAAAAAAAAAACGGCTGTCAGTTCCATCGTTTTCTACTTCCGAAGTAATAAGAAGAGAACGTTCTGAGAAATCGCGAGCAGGGGGCCGGGTCTACTACCGCCCCTCACAACTTTTTTTTTTTTTTTTTGACCCCCATTTTTGGAGGTGCGCCACATGCAGTGCGCGCACGTCGTGCGGGATGCGCAGTGCAGCGCATTGCGACATCAAGTATGGTTACATTTGATGGAGTCCAGTCAGCATCAATCACCAATAAGTTAAGGATATGTAATATTCGCATGTCTTTGGAGGAGGCAGCCTTTCCTTGTCTAATTGGGTAAATACCATGGATACTGCAGACTTGAACACCGGACCCATCCGGACACTGAACACTAGACACTCTGGATTCAGTCCAAACGTCTGTATATGATCCAGAGCAAGGGGTGCCCTAAGCTAGAATTTCCAGTCTTATCAATAAAATAGTTCCCTTTAAAAAAACAAGGAAGGCTAGGGAAGGCTGGGTGGCAGAGATAAAGTGGTCCGGATTCAACCAGAGGGAAGAACCCCGGGAGGGAATGGCAAGGGACTACCGGCTGATTTTTCATGATTGGACCAAAATTGATCCGGGCATCCCTTTACGGCCAGCCCAGGACTTTGCAGATCCCTTCCCCCCCCACCCGTTGTCCTTGGTGGAAGTACTGCAAATGACATGAACCGGGACGACAGGACGACATTCGGACACATTCCCTCTGTACTCTAATTCAGCCAATTCAATCCATTCACTAAGTCCAGTTATCTCACTCAGTTCATTCAGTTGCATTCAGTTGCATTCAGTTGCATTCAGTTGCATTCTGTCCATTCAGTTCATTTAGTTTATTCTGTCCATTCAGTTCATCAAGCTCATTCAGTTTATAGTCAGAAGGATTCAGAAAGATTCAGAAAGATTCAGAAAGGTTCAGTTTAGGTTCAGAATAGGTTCAGAATGGCCCAGAAATGCTCAGAAGGATAAGAAGGATAAGTAGGGCTTAGTAGCGTGGGATAGCATGATAGCATGACCAGGAAGATGGGCTGAGGAACATTAAGGAACTGCTGGTGCCCCCCAGCAGCCCTGCTGGACCTCACTGGGACGCTGGACCTGTTTTCCAGCTGGAAGGTGGACTAGGGAACAGGCAGGGACCACTGGTGCCCCCCAGTGACCCTGCTGGGCCCTAGGTCAAGGGGTTTTGTTTTGAGTGAGATAGGATACAAAGCAATGGGACGCTGGACCCGGTTTCCAGCAGGCTATCGCACAACATCTCATGCTTTTCTTTTCAAATGTAAGGGACGCTGGACCCGGTTTCCAGCAGGTGATGCTCCCCACCAATAGATGGAGCCTGCCTGGGGGTGCTAGCGGTGTCTGTTCATATCAGCACCCCTAGCACCACCCAAGGT